ATAGCCACATTTGTATTGAATCCTATCATGTTATTTGGATGGGTGCCCCCCACCTCGGTTTGCTTGCCGACACCGTTGTTTCTTCTTTTTTGTTTCTTTTGAGACAGAGTCTCACTTTGTGTGCGTCCATGGCCTAGAGCCGACTGCCGTGGCGTCAGCCTAGCTCACACCCAACCCTCAAGACTCCTGGCGTCCAAGGCCGATCTACTGCCCTCAGTCGTCCTCCCGAGTAGCGGGACTACAGCAAGTTGCCCACTGGGGGGGTATGCCCGGCCCCGCTAATCTAGTTTGTGATCAGGTGTACTACGTTTTTTTTTTTTTGTTGTGTGGTGTTGTTTGTTTTGTTGTGTTTTTTTTTTTTTGTTGGGTGTATAGCTCTATGTTGGCCAATGAGATTTCGTATTTATAGTAGAGCACGGGGGTTCTTGCTCTTGCCTCAGGCTGTCTTTTGATCTCCTGACCTTCGACAATGTGGCCGCGCCGGCCTCGCCTGCCCAGAGGGAGCTAGGAACAGCGTGAGCCAAGCGGCGCCCGGCGCTCGACACCTGTTGCAATTGTGAACTGTGGCTTATAAACATTGGAGTACAGGTGCCAATTTGTACATGTCATTTGATCTTTTGGGTAATGCGCCAGTAGTGGAATTGCTGGATCAAATGTAGATCTACTTGATCGCTTTCAAGGTATTCCATATTGTTTTCCACAGAGGTTGAACCAGTTTGCAGCCACCAGCAGCGTAGGGTTTCTGCCTCTCTTTCATTTTTTTTTTTTTTTATTTCTTATTGGCAGACAGAGTCTCACTCTGTTGCCCAGGCTAGAGTGAGTGCGTGGCATACAGCCTAGCTCAGCAGCAACCTCAAACTCCTGGGCTCCAAGCATCCTGCTGCCTCAGCCTCCTGAGTAGCTGGGACTACAGGCATGGTGTCACGCAGCCTGGCTTAATCTTTTGTATATATATATTTTAGTTGGTCAATTAATTTCTTTCTATTTTAGTAGAGACAGGTCGTCGCTCGGCTGTTTTGAACTCTTGACCTCCAGTGATCCGCCACCTCGGCCTCCCAGAGTCTAGGATTACAGGAGTGAGCACCAAACCAGGCCTGTTTGGGGATTTTTGATAAAGCCATTCTTACTGGAGATAAATGATATTTCATATGCAGTTTTGATCTTGCATTTCCTGATGATTGGAGATGTTGAGCATTTCTTCATATCTTTGTTGGCCCTTTTATCTGTCTTCTTTGAAAAATTTCTGTTCATTCTCTTTGCCCACCTTTTTGATAGGTTTGTTTGATTTTTTTCTTGCTGATTTCCTGAGCTCTAAATAGGATTCTAGTTATCAGCTCTTTATTGGATGTGTAGCTTGTGAAAATTTTCTCCCATTCTGTTAGGTTGTACTGTTTGCTCTCTTGACAGTTTTTTTGGCTGTGCAAAGCTTTTTTAATTTGACAGGTCCATTTATTTATTGTTTGTGCTGCTGTGATTGGCCATTAGGGTTTTCTTCATAAAATTCTTTGCCTAGCGCCAAGGCTAGAAGAGTATCAATGTTTTCCTCTAGGATTCTAATAGTTTCACACCTAATGCTCAAGTCTGTTACCCAGCATGAGTTGATTTTTGTGAGAAGTGAACGGTGTGGGTCCTGTTTCAGTCTTCTGCATGTGGCTATCAGTTTTCCCAGCACCATTTATTGAATTCTTTTTCCCAGTGTATGTTTTTGTCTGGTTTGTTGAAGATTAGTTGGCTATATGAAGATGGTTTTATTTCTGGGTTCTCTGTTCTGTTCCACTGGTCAATGTCCCTGTTCTTGTGCCAATACAAAGCTGTTTTAATTACTATAGCCTTGTAGTATAGTTTGAAATCTGTAGCACCCATATTTTAAAAAGTTAAATGAACATTATTTTTTTTCCTTTATATAGGCATACTTTTAGAGACATGGTATTGTTCTGTCACCCAGGCTGGAGTGCAGTGGCCTGATCATAGCTCACTGTAACCCCAAACTGCTGGGCTTAAGCTATTCTCCCACCTCTGCCTAGGAGTACCTAGGACTACAGATCTGGCCCATCAACTAATTAAAAAAAATTTTTTTTTGTAGATACAGGGTCTCACTACATTGCCCAGGCTAGTCTTGAGCTCCTTGCCACAAGCAATCCTCCTCTAATTTCTAAAGTGCTGGGATTACATGTGTGAGCACCTGGCCTATTCTAAGTATATTTTAGTTAACCAAATATACTCCAAACTGTAATCAATTCTGTAATCAAATACCCTATTTGTAATCAGAATTACGTATTTTTTTTTTTGTACTAAATCTTGAAAACCTGGTGTGTATTCTACGCTTACAGCACATCTCAACTTGGACCAGCCATGTTTCAAGCGCTCACCAGGCAAGCAGAGCCCTGCAGAGGCCCCCCAGTCGCCTCCTCTAGTCCGCCCCGCTCAGGGATCCTTCCAGAGACCAGCTGGCCCGCGCCCTAAGCCCCGCCCCGCGCCCCTCCCAGGTTACATCACAGAGCTCACAGGCCCGCTGGCCACGGAGACCCGGGCCGGCCGCGTGCACCCTGACTCTCGCATGCTCCAGCTCTAGGAGCCCAAGCTCTAAAACGAAGACGCGGTCATCACAGAACAGCGGAGGCGGCCAGCCGCTCTGCGGTCCCCTTCGCCATTCGCGGGAGAGAGGAGGGAGTTTGAAGCCCCTGTGCGCACCTCGCCCCCAACAGCCCGTCGCTCGCGCAGCTTCTACGGAGAGGTTGAGGTGGCGGGGCCAGCGCCTATTGGTCCGCTGCAGCCCTCCGCCCGCCCTCATCCCGGGCTCATTGGCCGGAGTGGCAGCGCCCGGGTCGGCGGTGGCGGCGCCCCTCCCTCGCGCCGGCCCTCAAGAGGACGGCGAGGAAGCGGCCGCCTCCCTGCGCCCCGCCCCTCGGGCTTGCTGGCTGGCTCCGGGCTGCTGCCGACATCTCCCGGCTCGTACCGGCTAGTCCCGGTGTTCTCTCGGCTCCCTCCGGCTCCAGCTTCGGCTCGGCTGCGGCAGGTAGGTGCAGCCACAGGCGGGGCCGGATCGGGGGACAGCCTCCTCACTGTACCAGAGGCTGCCTGAACCTCGCCCCGCGGCCGCCTGGGACCCCTCAAGGCCCGCCCGAAGCGGGCAAGGGCGGTGGCCGACGGCCTGAGGGACGCGGGGGCGGCCAAGGGAGGGGACCGGGCGGGGAGCCTGCGGGCGTGACCTTCTGACTCTTCAAGGCGTGATCTGGGGAGGCCGTGGGTCGAGGCGGGCTGAGAGGTCCGGTTTGGGGGATCTGGGGTGGTGGGGCCGAGTGGTATGCCTCGGGTTCTGGAAGGGGCTGAGCCCGGGAGCGAGGGTCGGCTGCAGTCAAGGGCCTTGGGTGGGGTTCGGGGAGGTAGGAGAACTCCAGCATCGTTTCCTGAGGTTTAAGGAGGTCAGTTGATGTGGAACTGAGGCAAGCCTTAGAGAGGGAGTCCAGTCAGCGGTTATGGGTGGGGCTGAGGGGTGGTCTGGAGAACCGGGCCCGAGCGGAGGCTCTCCCTGCGGTCCTGGCCCTGGCACTGTTTGGGGACTAAAGCATGTGTCTGGCTGCGGGAGTGTGAAGGGGTAGCATAAGGGTGGGGGCGGGAGAGTAGGGACAGGGACTAGGAGGGGCAGTTGGAAACATTAACCAGATTAGAAGTTGTAATTTAGCACGTAGAACGAATTCTACGCTGGTGTGCTGCCTGAGCTTCAGTGAAATTGCATCGTGGTGGAGTTTTAGGGGTTTTGCTTATCTCTAGGAATGTGTAAATTAAATGCATTTGCTGCTTTGGTGAGGAAGCAGTGATTACCCTTAGGGTTGTGTTTTAGGACCCAGACCCAGGTGAAATATATTCTCCTTGGGAAGGTTAGTGTTACCTAGCTTTCTACTGGAAACCCCCTTTTCTCCTTTTCCTCCCCTGGTCCAGTTACAGTATTGCTCCCCAGGGGCTCTCGATTCTCTCCCTGGCTGCTTAGCATTGCAGTGTTCTTGCTCTGTATGTGTATATCTCCCGCCCATTTCCCTGCTGCTGTGCTTTTGGCAACTGCCTTTGCTCTTTCCCAGGGATGGTTGTGGCATTGCATCAGGGGATATTTGTGCTTGTAATTTGCTCACTCAGCCCAGGAGGAGGGAGAATAGTATGCTGCAGAGATGGGAGGGGGAGTGCCGTCAGCTTGGCTGGGTAGGCAGAGAAATGGGTGTGGTGAGGGAATACAGCTGCTCTAGGCCTATAGGGTAACACTGCCCAGTCATCAGCGCAAAGAGATTCAAAGAGCAGCAGCAGCTATTTTTATAAATCAACCTGAATCCAAGCTGAGCACATGGATTTAGAGTGAACAGTTGTCATGCTCTAACTATTACAGGCTGGATGTTTGGTAGACAACATTAGAGTTGCTAAGCAGGAGACTCTGTCTGTACAGTTCAGCAGGTACTTTACTTGCAACTTTTTAGCTTTGCTTTTCTCAGCTCTCAAGATTGGTACATTTCTCTTAAGGGGATGTCTTTTAAATTGATGTAGTTTGGCCAGGCTCAGCAGGCTGTAATACTAGCACTCTGGGAGGCCGAGGTGGGTGGATCACTCAAGGTCAGGAGTTCAAAGCCAGCCTGAGCAAGAGCAAGACCCCATCTCTACTATAAATAGAAAGGAATTAATTGGCCAACTAATATATATAGAAAAAATTACCCGGGCATGGTGGGGCATGCCTGTAGTCCCAGCTACTTGGGAGGCTGAGGCAGTAGGATCACTTGAGCCCAGGAATTTGAGGTTGCTGTTAGCTAGGCTGATGCCACTCTATCCTGGGCAACAAAATGAGACTCTGTCTCAAAAAAAGTAAAAAATAAAATAAATTGATGTAGTTTGATGGTCAGTGCTACTTCCTTTCAAATGAAATGTTTTTATCTCGGTTATGCTCTTCCTTTCAAATTTAGCTTAAAAATAAAGCTACCAGTTTTTGAGCACTTGCCATCTCCCAGGCACTAGTTGCATTTGTTTACAGATAAAGAATTTAAGACTGATGGGAATAAGAGATAATACAGACAGTTAAGTGGAATAAGTGGCATTCAAGCCAAGGTCTCTCTGACCCCCACAAGAGACTTTAGAATTTTGGTTGACAGAGGGTTGATTCAAGTGCTTGGGAATTAATTCATTCAATGTAAACTCACTGGAAACTGATAAACCAGATACCAGTTTATGTATGTGGAAAGTATTAAGTGCCATGTACACAATAGGATTTCATTATCCACTGGCAGGGACACCTCCATTGTTCTGGGTAGCCTAATTAGTAATAAGAAGGCAGTTGATTATAGAATTGGAATGAAGGGCATTGAATGCTCTTAGAGGGTATTTTAATCAAGTTACAGGAGCCTAGTGAGTCTCCCTTTCCTCAATGTAAGAATGCACATGTTAATATGGGACAGTGCTGGGGAGTGTCTTAACACATTTTCCCACTGTGTCTCACTTGGTTTTTTTTTTTAAGTCATCTCTTCATATATTTGTCATCCCAGCATCTTTGTGTTAAAATTCTTAAATTTACAAATAAGTTCACATTACATATTAAAAAGTAATTTTCCATTGTTTCGTGACAGTGAAGAAGGAAGCACCTGGATTTTCTTATGTTCTATGTGCTTAACTTTAGTTGGTTTTTCCTGATCTCAGTGTCTTTTTTTCCCTAATCTTGTTTCTGAATGTGGTGATCTATCCTTTGGTGTAAACTTTTGCTATTGACACTTAACATTTTTGGCATCACTTTTCTTTCCTTTTTTTTTTTTTTTAGCATTAAGCATGAGTGATATGTAGATTTTAGTTTCCTTAAAAAGCAAGAAAATCTGAGAGGAACATTTTACCCATTGGAAGGCATCCTGGTGGTTCATTTGATTTAGTCAATTTGAAAAGGAAACCAAGTAAATATCACTGGTTTCACTTTGTCTTTCTAAATGGTACTTTTAGAACCAGGTTACAGTGGACTTATTGCTAGGGGTGAGTGTGTTGAGGACAAGTAAAGTCAAGAAGGGGAATAAAGCAAAGTGATACAGATGAGGGATCATAATCACCTATCATTTTAGGGCTCTCTAGGCTAATCTCTCAATACAGACCTTTTGATGAATACTATTTTGAATATTAGTAAAAATTTAAGCTTGAAAGTCAACCCAGTTTACTTTTGTGGTATTTTCTTTTTCTTTTTTTTTTTTTGAGGCAGGGTCTCTGTCATCTGGGCTAGAGTGCAGTGGCCTCATAGCTCCCTGCAACCTCAAACTCCTGGGCTCAAGTAATCATCCTGCTTCAGCCTCCTGAGTAGCTGGGACTATAGGCGTGAACCACTGAACTACTTTTGTGATTGTTTATAGGTTAAAAAAGTTAATCTGGCCGGGCGTGGTGGCTCATGCCTGTCATCCTAGTACTTTGGGAGGCTGAGGATGGAGGATTGCTTGAGGCCAGGAGTTCCAGACCAGCCTGAGTAACATAGTGAAACTCTGTCTCTATGAAAAGTAGAAAAATTAGGTGGGCATGGTGGCGTTTGCATGTTCCTGTAGTCTTAGGTACTTGGGAGGCTGAGACAGGAGAATTACTTGAGTCCAGAAGTTTGAGGTGCAGTGAGCTATGATGATACTGCACTCCACCCCTGGCAATAGAGTGAGACCCTGTCTCAAAGGAAAAAAAGTTAATCTTCTTACCATAAAACCTATCTTATTAGTTTGCATATAGTTAAATATCTTTATTTATGACTTTTCTTCACTTTTCCTAACTTTTACAAGGAAAATACAATTTTAAAACCTTTTTATTTTGAAATAATTTTAGATTTACAGAAGTTATAAAGATACTACAGAATTTCTCTATACTCTTCATTCAGCTTCTTTTAGTGTTATCATTTTATATAACCTGATACATTTATCAAAATTATGAAATTAAACTTAGTATGCTATTATTATTATTATTATTTTGAGACAGAGTCTCGCTTTGTTGCCCAGGCTAGAGTGAATGCCATGGTGTCAGCCTAGCTCACAGCAACCTCAAATTCCTGGGCTTAAGCAATCCTACTGTCTCAGCCTAGTAGCTGGGGAGCTACAGGCATGCCCACCATGCCCGGGTAATTTTTTCTATTATATATTGTTGGCCATTAATTCCTTTTCTATTCCACTGCGCCCGCCCGGCCAAATTAGTATATTATTGATTAAACTACAGACTTTCCCCTGATTTCCCTAATTTTTCCAGTGATGTCCTTTTTTTGTTATAGGATCCAGTCCCGTGTATCACATTGCATTTAGATGTCATGTTTCTTTAGTTTCCTGCAATCTGTGACAGTTTGTTGGTCTCTTCTTGCCTATCTCTTCTTAACACCTTTGAAGAGTAATGGTCAGGTATTTGTAGAATGATCTTCATTTTGGTTTTCTAATGTTTTCTCATGATTAGCCTGAGGTTATGCATTTTGGGGAAGAATACCATAGAGATGATATGCCCTACTTATCACATCATATGATGAGATACCTGATATCAAGCATGACTGCAATCCTCACTCCATGGTTAAAGCAGGCTTTGAAAACTTAAGGTAATGTTTCTCTATTGGTGAAGTGACTATTTTTCTGTTACTTGACTTTGTTAGAAGCTAGAAATGAGTCACCATGTCAAACTCATACTCCTGGTGAAGGAAATTAAGCTCCACCTCTTTTTTTTTTTTGAGACAGAGTCTTACCTGGACTTTGCTGGGCTTAAGAGTGCTGGGACGTCAGCCTCACTCACAGCAACCTCAAAGTCCTGGGCTCAAGCGATCCTACAGCCTCAGCCTCCCCGAAGTAGCTGGGAACTGACAGGCATTGGCCACGCATGCCCCCGCTATTTGTTCTAATATTATTTTAGTTGGATAATTAATTTCCTTCTAATTATAGTAGAGACGGGGTCTCGCTCTTTGCTCAGGCTGGTCTTTGAACTACTGAGTGCAAACAATCCTCCTGCCTCGGCCCTCCCCAGGTGCTAGGTTACAGGCGTGAGGCCACTGCAACCCGGCCTCTG